TATCTTCAGTATATCCCACTTGTCAATTTGTGCCTCCTCCGTGTTTTTGTCCTTACCTATTTCTGATAGCCTATATATTCCCTGTGCCAAAGTTCTCAAATTGGTCCCAATTCCCTCATTGATAGCCCTAATAGTTTGGGGTTTTACTTCCAGGTCTGTGAACCACCTTGAGTTTATTCTTGTGCATGGGGTGAAATAAGGGTCTTGCTTCATTTTTCTACAGGTAGATATCCATTTTTTTCCGCTACCACTTGTTGAAGAGGGCAACTGCTTCCCATGGGATATTTTGGGGGCCCTTATCAAAGATCAATTGTCTGTACGATGATTTTATTTCTGGGTTTTCAGTTCTTTTCCATTGGTCTGAGTATCTGTCATTATACCCATACGTTATGGTTTTGACCACTGTGGCTGTATAATATATGCTAAAGTTGGGTAAAACAAGCCCTCCCAATGTGTCCTCCTTCTTCGCTGCTAATTCTGGGCTGCTTCCCTCTCCATATGAAGTTATTAATCATTTTTCCATTTCTTTGAAGAAACATGAAGGTAATTGTCTCAAGATTGCATTAAACGTTTGTAGTGCCTTGGGCAGAACTGACCTCTCTTTACTATATTGACTCTTCCAATCCAGGAGCTTGGGATATTTTTGCATTTATTGAGGTCACTCTTGGTTTCTTGTAATAGTGTTCTGTAGTTTTCCTCATATAAATCTTTTGTTCTTTTAATCAGGTATATCCCTAGATATTTCAATTTGTGCTTGACTATTGTGAAGGGTACCACCTTTTTAATCTCTTCTGTGGTCTTATCCGATGTGTATAGCAGTCCGATGGACTTCTGTTTGTTGATCTTGTATCCTGCCACTCTACCAAACTGTTGTATTGCTTCCAGTACTCCCCTTGTGGAGCTTTTGGGATTTTCCATATATGAAATCATATCATCTGCAAATAACGATGGTTTCACCTCTTCCTTCCTCAGACGAATACCTTTGATGCCTTTTCTTTGCCTTATGCTGTTAGCTAAAACCTCCAGTACAATGTTACATAAGAGTGAGGACAAGGGACATCCTTGTCTGGTCCCCTTTTTCAGTGGGATTGTGTTAGTCTTTTCTCCATTGATCACCACATTGGCTCTTGGTTTTTCATATATAGTTTGTATTGTCTTGAGGAATTTTCCTTCCATTCCTATCTTCTCAAGTTGCAATCTAAACTTTATCTTTGGGCAAGGGCAGCTCTTTTGATCTCATATGACTGTTTGTTGTAAGGAATACATAACATCATGATGTTATTCTTAATTTTATAAGCCTAACATTTGGTTGAAAGTTGTGCCATGGGAGTCAAGTCAGTTCCAGGCTTCAAGGGTGACTCAGGGGCATAGACTTGGGAGTTCCACGTCTCTATCAGATCAGTAAGTTTAGACAAAGACCTTTTTCTTTCCACTCCACTTTAGTCTCTTTGGCAAGGCTTAGTTGCAAAACTTTAGTTTTCAAAAATTTTCTCATTATCCTTCTCACATTTTTAAATTGTGTAGCGATGATAGAGTTGATTGTAGTTCTTAGTTTTATGGGTTTCAGTTAATTGCATGGTTTATGCTAATATGTATGTTTGTGTAAACCTGTTTTGAAGAAAATTCACAAAATCATTTAATTTTAAATTGCTCACTTAAGTGGTTGATTTTAGTATGCATTATAGGGAGATGAAACTTAGAATAGGTATTGGGATTTAAACATTGTATATAGTATAAGTAGATGACACTGGCTTTTTATCTTCTCCCTTGTTTTTTTCCCCAACCTATTTTCTTTAATTTTCAGGAAGGAATCTTTTTAACCCCCAAAATGGGCAATTTGAGTGGTGTTATTGTCATTTTACATGATATGTATGGAATTTTTCAAGTGCCATTGCTCTGTGGACTTCAGCTTTGCTTCTTTCCTTTACTTTATGTTGATCAGAGCCAATGCTATCTCAAGAATATCTTGTACTATACAAACTTGCCTTTGTCATAGAGTTTGTAGGGTGGAGCTGGGTGACTATCTTAACATGTAGTAACTCTTTCTTATATGGTTAGGTGCTGAGATGAAAGACCATTGTTGCATTTTTGTGTGTCAAAGGATGAAGTCCTCAAAATGGTAGTGGGTGGGTTCACCTGTGTCCGGGAGGAATCTACTCAGTATATATTTTTTCCTACTCATCTTTTTTTTCCCTTTGGCCCATTTGTTGGATTCTGTGAAAGTCTACTAGTTAAGTTTCTATTGTTTGGGGCATCTATACTTAGAATCAAAGGTTTTCTTTTTTTTTCTTGTAGTATTCTTAGAATATTCTAAATAATGGATTGTTTTGAATAGTTAATACATGCACATAGTGTAAAATTCCAAAGGTACTAAAAGGTATACTTCATAAACTAAGCTCCCCTCTTCTTTCCTTCAGGTTTCATTTTCCAAAAAAAACTACTGTTTTCAGTTCCTTATTTATTCTAAAGTATGGCTTAAGTAATAAAATGTTATTTTACATGTATCTCATCCCACTTTAATCTATTGACATTCCTCGGGTCTCTATGGTCCTGGCTACAGTTGTAGCTAATGTCAATTTACCAGGTATTTGACTTTTGTTGAACTAGAACTGAATCCTGAAAAGACAGTTTCCAGATTTGAGGACTCCAAAACATGATATAGTGAGAGCAGCAAGAAGTTCCAACAGGGCTCCAAAATGCTCCTTTCCTACTGTGAAAAAAAGAGAAACTAGCTCCTTTTATTTTCGTCCACATGTCTGAATTGGCTGGTGGGAAATATGGTTAGTATTAGTACAGTTGGCTGGCAATTTCTATTTAGAACCTATAGACATGAGTGAAGATCAGGGCCTTTTGCTTTTCATGGGGTTGATGTTGCTACTAGAGCCTTGGGAAGCTTCTTGGTGATTAAGATGTGGGAATAAGCTGATTTATATCAGAGAAAAAGTTATGGTAAGCTTATGTAATGGTTGTTTCTGCTGGACTTTATAGATAAGGAGAACATATGAAGAGGCTTCAGAATGTTTTTTGGAAAATGGAATTAAGAGATAATAAAGTTTTCCATAAAAAATTTTAAGCCCCCTTGTACATAGGACTTTATTAGTTAATTCAATATTTGATGACTAACTTGTGGCTTGTATGATGCATAAAATGTAGTGTGCAATGTAGTACTAAATTTTAAGTGTCACAGGAGTTCAGAGGGGATTGAACTCAATAAATTCAGCTAATGTCGGGAAGAGTATTTGGATGACATGTGACTTATGCTGGGACTTGTAGAATGGAGTGGATTTTCATAGGGGAAGTACAGGAGGGTATTGTAATAAAAGGCAATGGAGGGGGTATATATCTAACCTCCTCTGGTTTCCATAGTGCCATGAGGAATGGGCCTGACAAGTTCATTCTTCTTTACCTATTCTGACACCAACCATTCCACCCACATCACTGTACATCTATGCTGGGTTTGATCATTCGTTGTAATGACCACACCAAATTTACAGACAATACTCACAATTAAGGGAGTTTATTAAGGAAGTTAATAGGTTACCACAAATCAAGATTCACAAACAGTAAGGATATAGTCATTGGTCTCTAGCCAGCAGCCAACTATCTCTCCGGTTCTTAGTTTCTCAGCTGTGTGGTCCCTTGGCCTTTGCCTCCATGGGCCAGGAAGCCAGTCTAATGGTCACTTTGTCCCACAATTCCAAGTCTTGGGACAGATAAGGAGAAGGTACCCCGTAGTTTCAGTACCCTTTCTCTGAATCTTCATGCCATAGTCAGTGAAGCCTCCGCCACTTCCTAGGTCCTTGGGGTTTCACTCTTCCCTACTGCTGCTTCAAAGATGGCTCATCCTTTTAGCCAGGGTGGTGGTGGTGGGTAGGGGATAGTAATGAAAATTGGCCAATGCTCTCTCTTAGTGTTACACATACCCCGTTTGCATAGCCCCACTCAGTCCTTTTGTGGAAGTTACAGAGACTTGGGTTAGATGAGCCATATTAAGAAATTTCATTTCACCACAGGTATATATCTTAGAGGTACTTATCTCATGTTCTTTCAGGGAACTTAACTTTTAAATTGAAACAATACATACACATAAATATAAATTTGAATAATATAATGAAAAAATGTGACCCTCGCACTTATTCCAGTCATCTAGTCTTACTCTCCAAAGTCAACCACTTACCTGTGTTCTTTCATAAATATAATATGTACAAAAATATATAAATACCTTTTGGGTATAAATAGTATCAGGCTAAGATATTGTTCTATACCTTGATTTTACCACTTAATGTCCTTTAATACTAGCACATGTATACTTTTTACACTTGTAGTATTCTATTGTATAGGTGTTTTATAATTTATATAGCTCATTTCCTATTGATGACATTTCTTATTATAAAGCATAAAGTGAAGATCCTTATGCATACATTTTTTTATGTACAGTTGTAAATTTGTTGGATAAATTCCAAACAGCAAAGGACTTCTATTCAACATCTGTAACAACACTTAGTATGATAAAGGGTGGTATTCACCTTGTGGTATTTTGAAAGAGCTATAAGCAGGGGTCCTCCAACTATGGCCCGTGGGCCACATGCGGCTCACCGAGGACATTTATCCGGCCCGCCAGTTGTTTTTGCCCCGTTTGTTATTTTTACTTCAAAATAAGATATGTACAGTGTGCATAGGAATTTGTTCATAGTTTTTTTTTTTTAACTATACGGCCCTCCAATGGGTCTGAAGGACAGTGAACTGGCCCCTGTTTAAAAAGTTCGAGGACCCTGAGCTATAGGAATAAAGATGGGACCTTCTACACCCATAAAGAGTTACAGCCTTGAAAAGCCTGTTCTACCCTCTCCTATAGGCATCAACTTGATGAGTTTTTTTTTTTAATAGGAATATGGCCCATAGGAACTAGTTTGTTAAAACCTATCCAAGTGGTTCCAACAGGTAACCATCATAGGGGTAAGTATTACCAGCTCTCTTCTCTCATTCTTTTTTCCCTGTAGACAAATCTACCTATCTTCAAGCTGAAAGAGTCCTGTGTGCGGCGGCGCTACAGTGATTTTGAATGGCTAAAAAATGAGCTGGAACGAGATAGTAAGGTATGGCTCACTGTGTGGCACCCTCGGGTAGCAGCAGGAGGAAATCTATATGAGCTAAGGGGGCATGCAATCAAAGTCTCTAATAGGTTGAAGGAAATAAATAGGGTGAGCATTCTTTTAGTAACCAAGTCCCAATATGTTGAATCTGAGTGGAGGAGAAGTGTACCCTTTGGAGCTTGAAAGTGGTAAGTTAAGGGTAATTAAAAAAAATTATTACTTAGTGACTAGTAAAGTCATACAATATAACTCCTATAGAAGGTACACATTTAAAGTATAATGTCATAAAAACACATCTTAGTTCTTGTATAGTGTATTGGTAAGAAAGTAAGGAATATTTGGAGTTTATTTCTTTCAAGATGGTGTAGTTGAGCCACTATATGGTTTGTGGGTAAACCCGCACAAGGGAGTTGATGTAGTTATTAACCTGAGCCACCCTCGTTGGTCTTCTTATAAATTGCTGGCTGTGGGACTGTATGGCCCTACACCTAATAGGAAATGAAGTATATGGTGCTTTACCATCTCATCTTTCTGTCCTTCTGCTATGTGGCTGTTACTTTGTGTATACTTGTAGATTGTAGTACCACCACTGCCTGGGAAAGCCTTGAAACGGCAGCTTCCTTTCCGAGGAGACGAAGGGATCTTTGAGGAGTCCTTCATTGAAGAAAGGAGGCAGGGCCTTGAACAGTTTATTAACAAGTAAGCTAAGTTTGCGGGCACTTCCTGCTAATTTTGTCGTCCTGGCTTTTCTATGAATTTTGTGTATCCTGTCTTATAATGGGTTATATCATGTGGTGCTGATTGTATGGGCTGTCTGCACTATAAAACTCCATTCCTTTGAACTGGAAACACAGAATCCAGGACAGATGATCCCTTCATGACCAGTGGTGAGAGTGGCGATACCCGGAGGGTGGAGGGAAGGTGCGGTAGAAAGGGGGAACTGATTACAAGGATCTACATATAACCCCCTTCCTGGCGGATGGACAACAGAAAAGTGGGTGAAGGGAGACGTTGGACAGTGTAAGACATGACAAAATTATAATAATTTATAAATTATCAAGGGTTCATGAGGGAAGGGATATGGGTATGTGGGTAGGGAGGGGAAAAATGAGCTGATACCAAGGGCTCAAGTAGAAAGCAAATGTTTTGAGAATGATGATGGCAACAAATGTACAAATGTGTTTGACACAATGGATTCATGTATGGTTTGTGATAAGAGTTGTACGAGCCCCCAATAAAATGATTTCTTAAAAAAGGAAATAAAATAAGTTATGTAGGAAAAAAACCTAACTCCATTCCTTTGAGAGGAACTCTGATCTTGTACCTTAGCACCTTATCCCTCTATGCCAGCGGTTCTCAACCTGTGGGTCCTGACCCCTTTGGGGGGGTTGAACGACCCTTTCACAGGGGTTGCCCGATTTATAACAGTAGAAAATGACAGTTATGAAGTAGCAACAAAAATAATTTTATGGTTGGGGGGTCACTGCAATATGAGGAACTGTATTAAAGGGTTGCGGCATTAGAAAGGTTGATAATCAATGCTCTATGCCCTTTCTCCTGTACAACATTAGTGTTGAGGTGTTGCCCTGTTGCTATCCTTCACTGGGTTGAACCTCACAATTGACCTTGCCCTTCCTTCCCATTTGCAGCTCCACATATCTGCTAATCCTCTGATCTCAAATACTAATGATATCCATCTTGTTTTTTTATAGGATTGCTGGGCACCCACTGGCTCAGAATGAACGCTGCCTACACATGTTCCTGCAGGAGGAGGCAATCGACAGGAATTATGTCCCTGGGAAGGTGCGCCAGTAGGAGCCCCTCTCACCACTTGGCCTCTACCTTCCTGCTGCAATGACATTGGTTTTTACACTAATCCCCTCTTTCTCTCTCTTTGATCTGAAGTTGACTGTCCATCCCCTGGCCTGCTAGACTATCTATCATTGTGCTCCTTGGTACCTGATTACACCATGGGCACTCTGCTAGGATCTGCTTCTCTGAGGAGGGGTGGGAAACCACAGGCAGATGCCCTTTGCTTGAGGTTGGGTGGGGTGGGGAGTATTGGGATGGAAGGCAATTTCTTAGAAGGTTAACATTGGTATTGGGAGGTGGGAGGGTTGTGCTGGTGAGGCACTTGTGTACACACTGATGCTGCAAGTCTATTAAATTTTTCTTACTCTTATGTTTAATTAAGAACATTGAGCAGAGGAAAATCTGTGCTTTTCCTACCTGCATGTACCTTTTCCTTTTTGGGAAAGTGGCAGAAACTTAAAAACTTTCCTTATTTTCTCTAGATCCACTCCCAGATTTCTTTTTTCCAAAATGTTAACATTGGCTATTTTATGTTCCTTATTTTTTGTTTCTATTTCCAGTTAGAAATAATTCCTCACCTCAAAAGAAATTCCAAATCTTTTGCTGTTGAGTAGATTGCGACTCATAGCAACCCTATAGGACACAGTAGAACTGCCCCGTAGGGTTTTCAAGGCTGTAAATTTTTTTATGTCCTTGTTGTATATAGTATCTATCACACTTGCCAATTCAAATCCTGTTTCCTTAACAGGTTCTTTTGTTGCTCTCTCTTCCTTATTGCATTTCATGACAGGAATCCCCCTAGAATCCAAGTGGTCTGTTGTGTGGAGCAAGGCTTGTGGGATTTCTGGACTCATCATGACTATTTCAGGGTCAGAAGAAAGCCATTGGATAGTAGGGGAGCTAGCACCTCTCCCTTTGTGGTCCCCCGCTCTGACTGCTTATTCCTCACCAACAGCAGAATCAGCAGTTCTCTCATCCCAAACTTTTGCTACTTTACGGAATAGCTTTGAAGGTTTGGTGGCTTGAGGGGCAGTAGTAATTTACCACTGCCAGATAACTTCCTGAAGGTAGTTCCCAGTGGCAGAGAAGGGCAGCCTTCCATTCTCCTTCCTGCTTCCCCATCCCATTTAATGCTGTCACAGGGCAGAAGCACATGAACAAACCACCGTGTCTGACTTCTCCTAAGCACATTAAGCTGCTGAATGGCGCTCAGGGGCAAGAGTTGGCACTCTCTTCCCCAGCCTGCACTTACTTCCTATGGAGCTCTGTAGCATTCTCCCAAAAAGGTAAGCTAGGGATTGCAGCTGAGTAAGGATTTCCTACATCTTAGGGTCTGAACTACTTTTTGAAGCTGGAAACTTTCCTGGGCTTCTGTTTAGGAAGTAGTGGGTTTGTTTTCTGGGACCTGATCATCATCCCAAATAGTGAGATTTGGAACAAGTTAATTCTGGTATGAGGTCAAAGGTATGAGCTCTTTGCTTAGACTCCTTGTCATGAAAGGATTGGAATCTTGTATAAAGTCATCCTTAGATATCTGAGGGGAGTAGTTCTAGCTTCCACCTCCCCCAGATGTCAAAATCTGTGGATACTGAGTCCCTTATATAAAATGGTGTACTATTTACATATAACCAATGACTATCCCTCCATATACTATAAATCACAGCAAGATTACTTATAATAGTTAATACAATGTAAATGCTATGTAAATAGCACTTTATGCTTCCCTCCTAGCCTTTGAGGGAGTGCTTTGACTACTTCATTGCTCACCCTTCCCCCGAATATGACCTGCGTTGATGGAACGTGCAGATGCCGAGGGCCAACTTTACAAGGCCTTGGGGGAAAAATGAGGATTCTGATATGACCTTGATCAGAAGTATTAGTATTGCATTTCAACATGGGTTTTGGAGCCCATTTAGATTTTGCAATTCCTGAGACAGTTCAGCCTTGCAGCTGCTGAACCTGTGGGGGGGCTGAGCACCCTGAGAGAAGAAGCTCTGCTCCCTTTCCCACCTTGCCCCTCTTGGTGTTGTTGCTGCCTTTTTGGTTTGTATCCTCTCTTACAGATTTTTTTCAAAAATTCCTTCTTTCATTGTGCATAGGTGCTGAAAGTCTGAGACCCCATTTCTGATGTGTATATATCCTGACTGGGCTTTTTTCCCCCCCCAGCAAACTGTTCATTCTTTTGTCAGACAATGTCATATTTAACTTTTGTTCATATTAAACCACTATGAAGCAAACCTCTGTTTCCCTGCTTCAGTTGTAAATGTAGTATTTTCTAGTGTTCAGGATTTGCTGGATATTGTGAAGAAATTACACAACATGACCACTGTCTTGAGATGAAAAATAAGTTTTGCATTTAAATATTAAAAACGTGAGCGTTCTAGCTACCTGTAGCAATATTTACATATCCTTCTAGCAACTGACATTGTCACAGAGACAATACATTTGCTTACAGGAAGTAGCAGTAAGCTCAGTATACTCAATCCAGATTTAGATCAGATTTATCAGACGTGTTTGTAATTTTTGGGGTTTTTGCTAATTTGGGAAGACTATATTTACAGTATAAATAGGTATTGTGTATATATACATTCTGACTTATTGACTCAATTGCAGTGAGTTAAATATGTATTGGGTATATATATATATACATTATGACTCATTGACTCAATTGCAATGAGTTTTTTTTCATGTATATACATATGTGTATACCTACATATGCTTATATCCCCCCCCCAGCAACACAAACAGAAACGTTCAGAATATTTTCTTTCAGAAGCCTTAACTCAATTGAGGTTTTCTTTTTTTTTACTCAATAAGATTTGAGGAAGGCAGAAAGATGGTTGCAGTCTCAGAACTTTTGATGGCTAAGTATTTTCACCTGAGCAATAGGTTCTGAAATAGCGACTTACACAATGTAGATTTGGGGGAAGGTTTGGAATGAAGGAAGGTAGGAATCTTGTCATGTAGAAAGTCCAAGCTAGTTGTAATCATGTAGATAAACATGGAAAGAAAATATACAAAGTGATATGATCAAGAGATTAGGAAATTAAAGTGACTTAGTGATATTTAGGTTTAAGTGGAAGAGTGAGGGTTGAATTAAAGAAATTAAAAAGTTTAAGAATGAGATAAGAATCTGAGAGGATAAGGCAAGAATAGTTATATCTGTGAGATAATAGAAAGGAATAAAGAAAAGGAAGCATGAAGGGATGCAAAATAATGTTCCAACTTTCAAAAGTTCAAGAATGAATAGGCGATTGACTACAAAAAGCAGTTCTAAAATAAAGGTATTAAAATTTTGGACAGCTGACGTTCAAGTAGCAAGTGCAGGAAGTCCCTGGGTTATGAAGAAATCCGTTTCTAACTGTCTTTAGGAATTTGTAGTAAGTGGGAACAGATGCATATGGGCCTTTAATACATGAAAGGAGCCCTGTCGATATAGTAGATTTAGTGTTGGGCTGCTAGTCACAAGGATGGTGGTTGAAACCCACCAATTTTTCCTTGGGAGAACAATGAGACAGTGCTCCCATAAGCATTTACAGCCTTGGAAACCTCTAAAGCTGGAAGCCTTGTTACCGACTTTTTGTATAATATTGTGTAATATTGCATAACCTGCGTGCCAAGCTCTATGCTCAGAGCTGGGCTAGGGGGTGAGTGGTGGTACAAGTGAAATATGTTTATATTACTTTTAGAGGTTTAGGGACATGTAGTCAGCTAGGTAAAATTCCATCTTTTTAGAGTCAAATTGGCCATTTTAATACAGTACCTGGATTCTGGACAACCTTTTACTCAACACTGAAGAGAAGCAGACTTTTATAAGGAATTCAAGTGTACAGATGTATCTAAGTGTTTGCTTCTAATTAATTCCCTTTACCAATAGTATAAGGAATCATGGTAGTGCAGTGGTTAAGCATGCTTGGCAGTTGAAACCCATCCAGTGGCTCCTGGGGAGAAAGGCCTTGTGAACTACTCCCATAAAGATTATAGCCTAGAAAACCTTATGAAGCAGTTTCGCTCTGTCATAAGGGGTTGCTATGAGTTGAAGTTGACTGGACAACACCTAACAACATTCCCACCAATAGCAAGAAAGAGTTCAGTTTTACACTGGGGCCAGGAGCACAGAGGCTAGCAAAATGTTTGAACATGGTAGGTAGATTCAACAGGAGTCTAAATCTTTGCATTCCAAAGATGCTTTACCTCTCTTTTTACCTACTCTTAGAAACATGTATTGAACTAGTAAAGGTACAAGAGCAGTTGCCACTCAGGCTACCCTGAAGTTTGTGTTTGACATGATATCCCAGGTGAGACCCTTCTGTGTTCAAATATATGCTGTAGTAATTTAAGTAAAACTACGTTGTGCTGTGGAAATGCAGACCAGTTGCTCACCAAAAAGGATATTTCTTCATATACTTGAAGACTGTTGAGTCATTCTTGGTCTTCCCAGATACAGTAACAGTGCTGTTTTTTCCTCACTTGGCTTATTTTTAACCCTTTTATATTTACTGCTCTGAAATCTCTCCAAGTAGTATATCTAAAAGTAGATACCACTGAAGCTTAAGTGGTTGTCATTCCATGTATGCAACGAAGTATTGTGACTAATTTAGCTGGAGGTTCTCTCTTACTCCCTTTCCCACCTCCCACCATCCCTTCTTCTTCTTAACCTTTTCCCCACTTTGCTTATACAAAAAACAATTGTTCCCTATTTTAATTTCATTTCTCTCATGCCCTCTTTCCTCCTTACCCCTTTCTCCTCCTCAAAAATGCTTTTAAACACAGAAAACTCATTCCTTACAAAGTAGATAAACTAGAGGTAATTATCAACATCACAGAAAGAATTACCGTATATATTCCAGCATAAGCCGATCCGAATATCAGCCGAGGCACCTAATTTTACCACAAAAACGGCATTAAAAATGTGCTGAAAAACTCGGCTTATCCTCGAGTATATACGGTATTTATATCTTAGCAGGCTTTCTTATATAGGTATATACTGTGGGGATTTTAAGGGTTTGTATATAAATTATCAACTATTTGATATAGAAGAATTGAAGGTAAAGAGTTAAAAGACACTGCCAATTGAAGATTAATCAGAGATGAGCATAAAACTGTACTTCTTAAGTAAATAATAAAATACAGTTAAATTTACCAAATTTTACTTATGGATTACCTTGAATAAGATGTTATACCAATATGTTCTTTGTGCAAATATCATTACCTTTTGATCATCTGTGCTAATGGAAGGATATGCATTTTTACTTATGGGGTTTTGTTTTAAGTTTTAAGTACAGGTGTATCTACTGTTGACAGGACTTTAAAATATTTCCTATGTCATCAAGCTTAAGATTCAGGAAGATTTGAAAAGAAGTAGGAGTACTAGGCCTGGACTAGAAACCTGAGTTATGACTCTAGGGCCTTAGTCAAATTGCTTCATAATTCTAGGCCTGTATCCTTAAATATAAAATGAGAGGATTTACATTGAAGTTTTAAAATCTCTAATATTTTATGATTTCCTACCCTTGGCAAGAAGTTAAATATATCATAATGGTGATACCATGAAAAAAGATGAAGCACATTTTCCCCTGAATATTTAATAGATGAATCGTTTTCTCTTCCAGAAATGACTGCCTCTTCAGTTGTCCCAGCTAAATTTTGTTGGCTTCCATCCTGTTACATCAAGTTATGAGTCTCCCATTAAAGCTTTATATTGGTTTGGTTTACAGTTATCCTAGGTCTTCTAGCATTTTTAAATGAAATAATCATTCTATACTTGTGTGGAGTTGTTTTTATTTAAACTACTTAATGATAACTTTCCTGAATGTTCTGATTATAAAAATGCCTATTCTGCTCAAATGTTTTATTGTGGTGATAAAAATTCAAAAGCAATTAATATCAGTTGACAAAATTAAAACAAAACACCAATGTGTAAAATAAAATGTGAAACAATCTATTTCTTCTCTCTACTCCCACCCTCCAATAATTTGTTGCATTTCTCACCACACCCTTTCTTTCTGCAAATATATAAACCCATTGCCATTCAGTTGATTACAATTCATGGCATCCCTATATAGGGTCTCAGAGGCTGCAGATTAAAAAAAAATTATTTTATTGAGGGCTTATACAATTCCCATCACAGTCCATATATACATCCATTGTGTCAAGCACATATGTACATTGTTGCCCTCATCAGTCTCAAAACACCTGCCTTCCACTTTAGCCCTTAATATTATTTGCTCATTTCCCCCCGCCCTTCCAACTCCCCTCTCTCCCATGAACCCCTCATAATTCATAAATTATTATGGTTTTGTCATAAGTAATACTGTCCAACGTCTCCCTCCACCCTCTTCTCTGCTGTCCATCCCCCAGGGAGGAGGCCATACCTAGATTCTTGTAATTGGTTCCCCTCCTCCACCCCACATTCCCCCCACCCTCCAGGCATCACCTTTCTCACCACTGGTCCTGAAGGAGTCATCTGTCCTGGATTCCCTGTGTTTCCAGTTGCCATCTGTACCAATGTACATCCTTTGGTCTAGCCAGATTTGCAAGGCAGAATTGGGATCATGATATTGGGGAGGAGGAAGCATTAAAGAACTAGAGGAAAGTTATATGTTTCATCGTTGCTACCCTGCCCCTGATTGGCTTGTCTCCTCCCCAAAACCCCTCAGCAGGGGGGTGTTCTGTTGCCACCTGATGCACTCTGAGTCTCCACTTTGAACTCACCCACCTTTACAATGACATGATTTCTTGTTCCTTGATGTCTGACACCCGATCCCTTCGACAGCTCGTGGTCGAGGCTGCAGATTTTTATGGGCACAGATAACCTCACCTTTTTCCTAAGTAGCAGCAGGTTCTTTCTTACCCACCTGTGGTTAGCAGTTCAGTGCTTACCTAGTAATACTACTACCATATTTGTGGGGTGCCTTACAAATTATATATATATATATTCACATACATACACATACTTTTAAAAAACAAAATTGAATATTATATGTACTATTTTGCAGCATAAGTTGCCCTGATGATGTAGTGGCTACTTGTTAGTCTGTGATCATCATGGTTGGCAGTTCAAAACCACCAGCACCTCCACAGGAGAAAGACTGGGGGCTTTCTGCTCCCATAAACAGTTGCAGTCTCAGAAACCCACAGGGGGTCTCTGAGTCAGCATTGACTAGATGGCAGTGAGTTTGGTGTGGGCTTTTGATTCTGCAGCATAATTTTTTCAAATTTCATTGGCATATAATTC